GCAGTTGACTTATTTTAAAATGCACTGTTTTAGACAGTTTTATGCAAATATGCATCTTTTTAAACCTCTTAGCAGCTTCTTATAAGCAGATTTGGTGATTTTTCTCCTGAACTTTCCGAGAGGATATACAGTAAAAATAGACACAAATCAGTTGAATCAAGTCAGTTTTTGACATACAGAGCAATAAAGTCTATGCTGATAAAATAGCTCAAATAATTGTGTTTCTGCCAAATTTGATGAGACGTGTTTGGGTTCATTTTGAGCTTTGAAGACTTTTTGATTTTGGGAAATCTGAGAACATTGTTGAGATCTCTTTCCAAGCTCTAGAGGAGAAATATATGAGATTAACGGGGTTTTCTGAGAAGAAACATCCAAGTCTCTTTGCTCCCCATTTATTCTGAAATAGAAACGATTGAGATATTAAACGTCTTATGGAAATGCATCCTAAAAAAACAACCACTGATTCAAATGCATTGCTAAATATAATGTTTGCATCCACAAAACACGTTTTTCTTGTGGTACATTGCATGCAAATCTGTTAGTAAACCAACCACTGATCTTGTTTGACACACACACACACACACACATACACACGCTACAATTTTGAATATGTAATGCATTGCTAAATATACAAGATCTACAACAAAACATGTTTTTATGGTGGTGCATTGCATCCTAATCTGTTAGTAAACCAATCACTGATTGAAATGCAATGCTTGGACCCAAAACCAATTTTGAATATGTAATGCATTGCTAAATATAACATTTAAACCCACAAAACATGTTCTTATGGTGGTGCGTTGCATTCTAATCTGTTAGAAAACCAACCACTGATTCAAATGCATTGCTAGATATATAGTTTGGACCCCCCAAAATATTCTAAATGTGTAGTGCATTGCTAAATATGATGTTTGCATCCATAAAGCATGTTTTTATGGTGGTGCATTGCATCCAAATTTGTTAGTAAACCAACCACTGATTCAAATGCATTGCTTAATATATTGTTTTGACTCAAAAACATTTGTGAATATGTAATGCATTGCTAAATATAATATTTGCATCCACAAACTTTTTTATGGTGGTGCATTGCATCCAAATCTGTTAGAAAGCCAACTGATTCAAATGCATTGCCTAATATATTGTTTTATACCCCCCACATTTTTTTTATGGTGGTGCATTGCATGCAAATCTATTAGTAAACAAACCACTGATTCAAATGCATTGCTTAATGTATTGTTTGGAACCCAAAAACAATTTTGAATGTGTAAAGGCACAGAATCCCTCTCTCTCTGCAAAAAAACTCTCTCTCGTCCCTCCCCCTGTAGCCCAATTCATGAAATATCATCCATGAGACATGTATGCATGGAACGATCACTTTGTTGCATGATTGTGCAATGGACTTGCAGCCAATTTCATTTGCGGTCCGTGCAGCCAAAGCACGTGCTTCATGCCTGTAAAATGCTCTCATCTGTGAGCGTAAAGCTGAAGGGGCGTGGATAAAGGCTTGTGTTACCTGCCCTAGACTTTCACCTGCGGAGAAATGGAAAGAATTTAACAAACTACCAGCAGCAGCAGCAGCAGCAAGTCGATGAGCCTGGAACATAAAAGCGTCGGCATTCCACCCGAGAGAGAGGAGGAGGAACTCGACGCGCACGGCAGGTTCACCTGAAAACATTCGACTCGCTCCTCCTTGAAAACACAGCGTTTGTAAGCCTCAATCTCGCCTTCGGACCCGAGAACGAGACGGCAAAGCATCCCAGAACGTGAGCTGAACCCTGACTATGGCTCTCAGGTTTCTAACTTTACAAGGAATCAGAAAGACACGTCGGAGAGACAGAAAGAGCGTGTTTACCTGCGCAGGTGGAACGGAGTGGCCGATGTGAGCTGGATTTCTGCACCGATTGGACACCATGGTCAGACCTCGACGCCTGTGGATCTTTAACGTGCTCTTGTGTTTCGGCATCATTTATTCTCGACTCGGGTAAGCGGAGGACCTACTTTATGCTATACATATTATGTGCTTTAAACGCAATGCATTTGATGTTTAAGTTTGGGTAGATGACATAAGCTCATGTCAGTGCAGGGTTATTATAGTTAACAAACTAAAAGCATAAAAACATTCTTTAATTGAAATAAACATTAATAAAATCTAATATTTTAACAAAATATATTAAACTTCAGCTTGTTGCCAATGCAACATTTCTCATTTTCGTTTAGTTTAAAAATCTAAAACTGCTACATAAAACTAATACAAATTGAACACAATTACTAAAACTTTTAATTTAAATTTAAAACAAAATATTAAAATAATAAAATATTCATAAAACTCAATGATACTGAAATAACACTGTGTGTTTTAGCTGCTTTTTCATCAACATTTTAAGTGAAAATTTATAGGCGATTGACCATTTTTAATTAATTTTGCCTTCACTAGTTCTTATTAAATGGTCCTGCAGTGTTTTTATATCCCATATAGTTCCCGATTAGTTTGAGACCATAAAAGATGCATTAAAATGATGTTTTTGATGCATTATGGTATTTCACACCACAAGCATTTCATGTCAGCTACCCGTTTACTAAAGAAAAAAAGTAAATATCTGCGCACTAAGGTTATTGCTTCATAAAAACTAACCTTACATTTAACATTTCAATTCATTTTGCAGTTCGAAATGGCATATTTGTTGAATAAAATAGCATTTAATGGCATTTTGTTCTGCATTTAGCTTAGGTTGGCAGCTTTCTAATCTAAAAGTTTGCATTGCATTTATTGCGATTATAAACAACATGCAGCTGATCAGTATGTACTAAAAGTGTGTACTACAAAGATCTGTACACCTGCTTACTGATTGGTCTTCACATGAGTGAATTGGATCTTAACAGCTATTTTCCACTGCATTTGGTCCATGTTAACTAGTTTAAAGGACGATCCATGCTGTGGTTTTCTCTCGCTTTCACCTCTCTATACCCTCAGTAATAACAGCATGCCGAGTTGTATTTCCACATTCCTTCACCCTCCAGTTTTGCAAGAGCTCACCTGAATTCTTGAGGGATTTGTTCGTATTCCAAGAGAGGGTCGCCTGTCATCTAGCCTATTCATGATTTACTTGATATATTTAACTCTTTGCTCTCATTTATTTGTTTTTATTCTGCGCGTATGCACTGCCATTTGAGAAATTACACTCTCAGCAATGCAAAATGGAATTAGGATATCATATCTAGATCTGCGTATGTCTTTGCATGCACAAACAGATCATAGTTTATCCACCTTTTGAAGTGGAAATCCATTCAGGCCGCTGTTATTTATCCGAAACAGGTGATTATACAGCTTAGAGCAACTTATAAAATAGAAAAGCACCTCATGAGTCACTTTTTTTTCTTCTTCTAATTTTTGGAAGCACATTTGCCATTATGTCAAAGCTCTGAGATTAATCATGCAATCTTGAGAAGACATAAGGTGGCTCACAAGACCTCATATGACTGAAAGCATGCTTTGAGATCTCTAGATAATGTGGGGTCTCATGAGGTCAAACCTGTTTTGTCACCCCTGAGGCTTGATATCTGTCACTATGCCCCCTTTACTCTCTTTCACTATGATGACATACAGCACATGCAGGTACAAGCACTGCATTTCACTCATTAAGCGCATTAATAAAGCTGGCCTATAGATTTATGGGTTGTCTTTTGGACCAGCGTCCTCATGTTTTATCTTCTAAAAAGATTCCTTAATGTACAATTATAAATGGTAGCCTATTTGTAGCTCAACCCGATCTCATGGAAGTGCGTATAAATAGTACGCCAAATAAAAACCAAAACTCGTGGTATTGATACGCAAAAATGGACTTTGACGTGTATATGCTACGCGATGGGTAGGTATAGGGTTGCGGGGTAGATGCGTATCATATGTACGCGAAAACTGCGTATCATATGCACGCCAACAAATTTCGTATCATATTCACGCAAAAACTGCGTATTATATGCACGCCAAACACATGCGTATCATATGCACGCCAAAGTCCATTTTTGCGTATCAATACCACGAGTTTTCATTTTTATTTGGCGTACTATTTATACGCATTTTCATGAGACCGGGCTGGAAAAAACATATTAAGACTTTTTAGTAAGTGCCAAAGAGGGCTCTGCTGTTGCTACAAACCTTGATATATAGTGAAATAAAGTGAAAAGTAATGACTAAGTGATGAGTAGTATTTATGTTCTGTCAATTCAAAGATTCTAATTGAAATCGCTGTGACTTCCTTTAGAAATTAGTACATTTAGCCTAAACAAGTTCTGTCAATTCAAAGATCTAAAATTTGAAAGTGCTAAAGTCTACTGTTGTTATGGTGACCTCCTATTTACTGCCACCTGGAAATATATATTTTGGCATAAAAGTATTGGCATTTAACAGTTTTATAATGGCTGAGTGAACACAAAAAATTAGTCAGGACGGGTATTTTCACGTATAGCAGTAAATAAATGCTCACTAAAGCAAGCCATAGTTGTTATTGCATAGTCAACCAATCACTACTGGATGAAATATTGATCATCTCATTGTTTATCAGACTACTATAGCTTTTCATAACCCAACAACATGATGTTTTGTTTTGAAAGTATCTTAAATGACGTTTTGGGCTAAAACGCAGGAGATGAGTTGAACCCCAAGAGATTCGCGACGAAATTTAGCTAGCCACAGAACATTCCCTGATAAAATGGAGCCCAGGACTGTGTAACTAGCACGCTGATTACAAGTAAACGAAGTGAATATTTAAAGTGGAATATATATATATATAATGTGGGACTTCTGTGTCAATATGTGAAGCTGTAGGGATCGTCGGTTACCTCTCCAGGGCACGGGCGCGCTGTCAGTGTGGCCCCTAGTGGCCCCTTTATCCAAAAGTGGGCGGATGGTGGTGGTGTGATGGTGCCGTCCTCTGCCCAATGGCAGCCCGGAGTCTCCGGAGAGGAGAGAGCCACTTCTGTTTCCATCCCCAAATCCCCCCAAAACCCACCAGAACGCTCCGACGGAACGAACCGCGCGATGACACAGCGCGTCTCCTTCGCACACACACGCGTCTGGGAGTTACGCGCAGCCTCAAAGAAGCTCCGCTCGCGAACACCACAGACGTGCAACTGGAACTAAACGTGTTTCTTTCTCTCAGTCCGTCAGAAAAGCGTCCGCATGTCACCATGATCCTCTTCTCCTCGCGCAGTGTGCTGCTGTCTGTCTATTATCCGCAGATCTTCCTCATCCTCACCAGCGGGAGCTACCTGTAAGTTTACAAACGTCTAAATCTGTTGATTTCGCGCTCGTGCGATGCAAGTCACAAGTTTGGACGCACTTGATTAGAATTTCTTTCTTACGATGGCTTAAATGTTTTAGGGGATGTGTACGGTGTGTGCACTATATAGGAATTGCTTTACAAAACGAACATTTAAATGCATGTTTTGAAATGCATTAGTTGGACAGGTGATGGAAACCCACCTAACAAGTGTAGCATGCGTGGGATCTCCTTTGATACTTTTTGAGAAACATTCCACATCCTTCACAATTATCCCAAAGGAACATGCACAGGATTCCTGCTGGAATTTCTATCATGGTAATATGGAACTAATTGAAGTCCCAGTTGGGATGAATACATTTTTATTTGTACATGGAATACTGGACAGATAAAGAAAGTTGCTAGGAGTTTTTGATGTCCAGTTTTACTGGGAATAGTCATGGCTTTGTTGGGAATTACGTTTTGAAAGATCTAGTTTTATTTTATGTTTGAAACATTTAAAAAAATGCATGCTGGGATCCTTTAGAATTGCTTACTATGACAGATTCCAACATGCATTCTTCAGAATAATTATAAAAAATAAAAAATAAACTTTTTTTTTTTTTTTACTAATTTGGTTAATGAATGTCCAGAGTAGAGCTGAAATCTAGACAAAGGAGAAGCTCAAATATGGGAAAGATTTAATTTGTGTGACATATGTTGAGTTTTCATCACTTTACTATCACTCTACAATGTTGAAAAGTCAGAATAAAGAGCGAGTAAACCTTTGACTGATCATGTTCGAGGATGGATTAATAAAACATTAACGTTTAGCATTGATCCAGGGAGATTCCTGCATCTGGACTGGTTTTTCTGAATGAACCTGTGACGCGTTGAGTAAATACAGTAGTTAATATTTCATTAGGATAAGCTTCATGAATGATGCTGTTGATTGTGTTAATGAGACTCTTGGGAACTTGTGTTAAAATGCAAGATTCAGTTTAATCTAGTTTCACAAGATTTTTTTTTATTCTCATGTAATCTGAACCTTTAAAGGGAAGTCCATGAATTTACAATGTAAGGAATGTTTTGTCAGGTAACAATGAAAAATGTATCATGTGGTGGTTTTATTCTGATTATTTAATATGACTGAATCATCTTAATCATTTTTAGGGTCAGGATAGATAGAAATAGCTCCTTAATGTAACAAAAACGGAAGATTTCTACTTGTTACAGTGTAGAAGAGGGAATTAAAGTGCAAATCTGGTTGGGGTTAGTAAATGTAAGTGTTCAGTGTTGAAGCTGAATAGAAGAGAATTTCATTTGGCCACTGAGTGGCAGAGAAGTTCAGTAAGATTCATATATAAAGTGTGTGTATGTGTTCAATTATGAGTCACTTTGGTTTTACAGACAGACGGTTCCTTGGTTCAACCTTCACCTGCTCTAAACACCGACACAAACACGTTTTGCATGCATTTGATTGCAATAATACTAATGAAGTAGAGGACAGTGGGGCTAGTTGTCACACGGAATATTTCTCATTTAATGTTTATTTCTGCACAGACACAAAACTTAAAGCAGTTGAACTTTACCGCTATTATTGCTCAAGAAATTGATCCCTATAACGGGGCAAGTTGTCACGATATATGGGGTAATCTATTTATATCACAGGCCGTTTTAAGACTTTTCAGCATAATGAAAATGAAACCACAAAAATATAAAAGTTTAACATGCGTGCATCTGGCCTAAATTGAAATGAAATGAAATTGGAAAAAAACTGCATGCGACAACTTGCCCCGACCTGACGACTTATGAAATTTCAGAATTCTTATGAAAATGTGAATTTGAAAAATGTGATAGACGATTAGGAAAAAGCATTGCTAGAGAGATTTGACTTAAAGCTTTATAGTTGTTGAGTTTGAGCCCTTATGGCAACTACTCTGTGTGACAACTGGCCCCAGTCTCCCCTAGATTTACATTCATATTATTTACGTTTACAAGTTCAAGTACATTGTATTTGCATCTTGTCCAAGTGAACTTCTGAACAGCCCGTTTGACTGACAGCGATGAATTTGGTCTCCAAGCTGGTCTTTAAATTCTTTTTCCTATAATTTCTTCTCAAACCCTTGTTGTGTCTCTTTGTCAAATGACCTCCAGACCATGGTCCTAATTTAGCAGCTGGAGACCCCAAACTCAATTTTCAAAATAGATGTGGGTTTTTGCTGGCATTTTAAGTGAGTAAGTCTATGTATAGCATTGGTTTGCACATCACAATTTTTAAATTTTAAACCATCTTAATTCAGCACATTGCAAATTTGATACATTTTGTGGAATTAATGGCTTTTAAAGGAAGGTTAAAAGGAAGTTTTGTGGTCGGTGCTTTTTTCTCTCTAATATTTATGGGAATGTTTGAGTTTTTTTAGGAAGTCAGGAATCAGGGAATCTCTCACAGGGCGAATCTACTTCATCCGAACGATGTTTTTTAAATTTACTTGTCTATTTCAAACAAGTTTTGTAAGGTATCTAACACCATACATGTTGATATTTAGTATAGTGGTTGATTTCCAATAAAAACTTCTCAAACTTTTACATTTGGTCCCCTCCAATTCTACATGCATTGTTGCATACTTAAAATAAAAGATACAATTAAACATTGGCTGATGTTATCATAATGTATTTTTATACAAAGCCTATACATTGAAAACTTCCTCCATCATAGCAGCATAACTATTTAATCCCAGATGATAAAACAACTTATTTTTGGGATAAATATAATTTCCCTATGTCCCATTAGTATGAAGCATGCTCTGCTGTTCTGAAAGAGACATAGTCTTAATAAATTGCAGTTTTAGACATATAAATAGGCCCATAAAAGTCACATTTGCTCTTTTTCTCAATGCTTAAAGATGTACAGTCTGAGGCTTGAAAGTTTTCCGGTGCCACTTCGTCCATGTTGGTAGTTTAGAGTTTGTTTTAACAGGATTTGTTTTAAGTAGAACGGACTGGGTGATAGCTGGAGCCAAGCGCACAGGGAACATTTATTTTCTTGTGTTTAAAAGTAGAGTGCATTTACTCATCCTGTGGATTATTTATTCCTCATTTACCAGGAAATCCTACTCATGTTTGAAATCTTCCTCGTGAGACAGAACTGATTTATTTTGCCATATTTTATATGGACCACAATTAAACTTTCACTCGGGGCTATTTAAATGTAGAGTCAGTTGGTAAAAACACGGATATTTTCAGATGGGAAAATACCATGCGTGTTTTGTAGGAGTTAAAAATATCCAGCGTTACCTGTAAACTTAAGGACTAGTTAAGTAGCCTTTAAACATGCAGCTTTACAGTTCGCATTTTAGAACAGACTGAAGTTGGTGTGGATCTTAATATTGATTTTCTTTAATTATCTTCATCTCAAATTATGTCAAAAATGAGTCCTACTGTAGTGTGCAATGTTAATGTGAAAATGTGTAAAAGCTCCGATCGTTTGGTTTTTAAGAAGAGTTTGATGAGTTCATATTGAGATCAGATTTTTCAGACCCTTTCTCTCTGATCTTTTCTATAAAACTGAGATATTAAATCTCAGTGTGTGAAACGCATATTCCTGAGACTCACTGCTTTGCGTTTTACATCACAATAACCTGCTCTGAAGGATCCAGTCTATATTCAACTTGTTTAACCGAAGACATCACTTGTTTAACCAGAAACAACGTCAGTCGGTACTTTATGACTGTGGATGAGCAGGACAGCCATAATAAGAGGTTTTAAATGAAAGCCAAATAAATTAAAGAAAAGAGGGTGGAGTGTTTCATTTGTTTCTAGAGCAGCATGTTCTGTGGCCCACAATCTGATTTATCTAGCTATGGGGAAAAACATTTGCAGATGAAACTATGTGATATATATATATATATATTTTATAATATTATAATATATATATAATAGTTGCTAAGGTGTTGTTATGCAGTTACTATGGTGTTTCGAATTTTTTGTTTCTCATTATACAGTTGCCAGTTTGTTGCTCGTTTTGTGTAGGTTGTTGCTATGCTGTTAATATATATATATTTTATGTTTTGAAGCTTGTTATGTGGTTGCTAGGTGTTGCTTTGCAGTTACTAAGGTGTTTTTAATGTTTTGTAGTTCGTTATGTGGTTGCCAGGGTGTTGCTATGCAATTGCTAAGGTGTTTTGAATGTTTTGTAGCAGGGTGTTGCTATGCAGTTACTAAGGTGTTTTGAATGTTTTGTAGCTTGTTATGTGGTTGTCAGGGTGATGTTATGCAGTTGCTAAGATATTTTGTAGCTTGTTATGTGGTTGAACCATTTTTAATGATACAGTTTGATATTAAAAGATTGAGATCAGATAAAACATTTTTTTAAGGTTTTTGAAAGAAGTATCTTCTGCTCACCAACGCTGCATTTATTTAATCAAAAATACAGTAAAAACAGCAACATATTTTTACAATTCAAAACGACTATTTTCTCTTTGAATACAAGTTAAAATGTGATTTATTCGTGTGAAGCAAAGCTGAATTTACTCCAGTCTTCAGTGTCCCATCCTTCAGAAATCATTTTAACATGCTGATTTGCTGCTAAAGAAATATTTCTGATTATCATCAATGTTGAATGTTGTGCTGCGTCATATTTTTGTGGAAACCATGATACATTTCTTTTAGGATTCTTTAGGAACGGAAAGTTCAAAAGAACGGCATTTACTTGAAATAGAAATCTTTTGTAACATTATAAACTGTCGCTTTTGATCAATTTAATGCATCCTTGCTGATGCTGAATAAATATTTCTGTAAGTAAGCATTATTTACAAACAATATTTATCTCACTTTGCGTTGTATTCTGTGATTACCAAAGATAGGCTACATGGGATGCTGCCTTTTGAATCTGGCCACATTGCTTTTCCTCACAGCGGCCCACCTAATGCCCAAACACACTGGTTTGGATGGCTTTGGAGGCGCTGCATCACGCCACTATATTAACGTGTGATGGAGTGTTAGTTTGTGTTCGCTGAAGGGTTTAAATAAACATACACTTTTAGCTGCTCTCCCCTTGCGACTCCATTATATGCAGAAACAGGAGATGTTTCTTAAACACGGAGCGAGAGAGGGGTCCCTCGGCTGCATCCCACATGTGGTTTTGTATTTAAGAGTAATTCTTAAGCCTTTGTTGGACATGGAAACACGACCAGAAAAGAAGCAAACCAGCCGTATCCGATTTCCAATGAACATTCCGCGTCTTTGTTCCACGCCGTTTGATCTGTTTTGACGGGGAATCCATAAGTTGCAGCTATTCTCCCAGCAGCGAGACCGGCCCATCCACCCCTGCGTGCCGTTTCTGCTGACACACGCATTGCTTGTTGCAACTCGCCGCGCTTGCGGTGCAGTCCTCGGCAGCCAGTGACGTCACTCTTCAAAGTTGGCATGCGTCTTGCCGAGTTTTTACAGCCCTCGTCTCTGACATGTTTGAAATGCACATATCTGAACGGGTTCAATGCTCGTAAACATAGAAGCCTGCTTGTTTAGCCACGCGGGTTTGTGCAAACACAGAGCGCCGAAAATACTCAGCGCGCATATTAAGAGCGCCGTCGAGGGCTGTATCAACACGAGAAGCCGTATGATGACAGAGATGTGTGCGTTTGGAACATGACCCACTTTGTGTGGTCACAGTTGCATGAAAATATGAGTTGAATCAAAAAAAGGGGCATGAAAAATATGATCTTTATAACCAGTAACACATTGTTCTGTTCTGTCGTGTATATTGTTCTTTTGTTTTCTATTCAGTTCTGTTTTAGTCCGTTCAGTCATGTTCAGTGGTGGTATTCTATTCTATTTATTTTATTCTATTATTCTTTATTCTGCTATATCATGTTCATTGGTGGCATTTTATTTTATATTGGTTGCATTCAATTCTATTTTACAATCATGCATTGGCTGGTTCAGTTCTATTCTGTTCAGTTTTGGTCTTTTATTTCATGTTTGTTTATGTTGTTCTGGTTCTTTCAGTTCTGTTCTATTTTTACTCATTCATTGTTTTTCTTTTCTATTCTATTTGATTTCACCTATTCTGCTCTACAGTTATGTCTTGGATTATATTCTATTCTATATTACAGTTATGCGTTGGCCTATTCACTTTTGATACATTCTATTACGTTTTATTTAATCAATATTCTGGTAACTTTTATTCTATGTTTTCTTCAGTTATGCTGTTCTGGTCTATTCAGTTTTACTCTTTTCATAATTTACGTTCAGTTATGTTTGTCTTTTTCTGTTCTATTTGTTTTTGTTTTGTTCTGCTGTAAATGTATGTCTTGGTCTATTTTATAGTTGTTTTTCTTTTCTGTTCTTTTTGTTTTTATTCTATTCTGCTCTACAGTTATATCTTGATCTATTAAATTCTATTCTATTCTGTACTGTTGACTCTGTTCTATATTACAGTTATGTGTTGGCCTATTCATGTCTGTTCAATTCTATTCTGTTTTGTTCAATTACATTCTGCTTATTTTTATTATATGTCCTGTAATGTTTTGCTATCCTTTTCGATTTTTTTCTCTACTCTTCATGTATGACTTGTTCTGTTTTATTCTATTCTATTAAATTATGTTTTATTGATTCTATTCCATATTACAGTTATGAGTTGGCCTATTCACTTCTGTTCAGTTATATTCTGTTCAGTTTTCTTCCATTATGTCATACTCAGTTAAGATGTTCTGGTATATTCAATTCTATTTTATTCATTTTTGTGCAATTATGTTTTCTTTTTCTATTCTATTAGTTTTTGCCCTATTCTGCTCTATAGAAAAGGGCAGAATAGGTCTATTATAATCTATTGATTATATCCCATATTACAGTTAGGCTATGTGTTGGTTTATTCGCTTCTGTTCAATTCTAATCTGTTTTGTTCAGTTTTATTCTGCTCACTTTTTATTCAGTGACATGATTAGGTATGTTGTTCTGGTCTATTCAGTTCTATTTAATTTAATTAATTCATGTTCAGTCGTGCTTTTCTTTTCTATTTGTTTTTGACTTATTCTGCTCTACATTCATGTCTTGGTCTATTCTATTGTATTCTATCCTGTGATTCTATTCTTTATTACAGGCATGTTGGCCTATTCACTTCTGTTCAAATCCATTCTGTTTTGTTCATTTATATTCTACTCACCCTTACACTATATCATGTCGAGTTATGCTGTTCTAGCTTATTCATTTCTATTATTTCTATATACATTTCTAATATTTCTATATACATTTACATTCAGTTATGTTTTTCTTTTCTACTTTTTGTTTTGGTTATATTCTGCTATACATTATGTCTTGGATTATTCATTTCTATTCTGTTGTATTGATTCTGTTCTTACAGTTGTGTATTGGCCTCTTCACTTCTGTTCAATTCTGTTCTGTTTTCTTACATTCTTCTCACTTTTATTCTATGTCATGTTCAGTTATGCTGTTCTATTCCTTTTATGCATTACTCTTCAATTCTCTTTCAAGTCTATTTTATGTATTCTCATTCTATTATACTCTGGTGTTGTGTTCTGTTCTAATATATTCTATCCTCTGTATTGGTCAGATCTTTACTATCTCTTTTTACTTGCACTACTGTGGGTGAATCACATTTGTTAAGCAATAAAAATGCATTGGGAAATGTGCGAGTTTTAATTTGAGAGGTAGAAATGTTCACCCATTTGAAGTAGTGCTTATGAGATACTATAGAGATCTCATTTGTGATAGTTCTTTGGTGCAGGTGTTATTGTTAAAAGTAATGATTGGACAAAAATCACTTCAAGCAATTAACTGCTTAATTCTGATGTGTGTTTAAGGTCATAAACTATCCACCGTAGGCTATGATGCAAGTAATGTTCATCTTTACTATTTGTGTTTGTCTCTTCTGTCCCACAGGGCTCTTTCCTCTGTGGTGGCCCTTGGTGCGAACATCATCTGCAATAAGATCCCCGGTCTCGCACCCCGCCAGCGTGCCATCTGCCAGAGCCGGCCGGACGCCATCATCGTGATCGGAGAGGGGGCACAGCTGGGCATCAACGAATGTCAGTACCAGTTCAGATACGGCCGCTGGAACTGCTCGGCGCTGGGTGAACGCACCGTCTTCGGACAGGAGCTGCGAGTAGGTCAGTGCTTGTCACGGGTCTTTAGCGCGCTTGGTTTGTTTTGGGGATGGTGTGAAACAAGATCTTGGTTCAGACACTATTACTAATGAGTTGTTGATCGAAACACTTGCAAATAACTCTTAAGTATTCCCATTCATCTCAGTGGCAGTTTCTTTAACCTCAGGTTGATCCTGAACCTGTAGTCTTGTGAATCTGTCAAAATATGTATGGATAATTCATCTAGAATCAAGAGGAAAATAATAAATATTATTTTTGCATAAATAAAATAAAGCCTATTTTCATGTTCAAATTCTCATATTACATCCAGATGTTTTCTCTTTTGTGTTTTGTATTTTAATACCCATAATACTTTTTCAATACAATATAATACTAAATGGCAATATGTAATACTATTAATTAGTGCTGTCAAACGATTAATCGCATCCAAAATAAAAGTTTTTGTTTACATAATATATGTGTGTGTACTGCGTTTATTTATGATGTATATATAAATACACACACATACAGTATATATTATTTACATGTATATACATGTATATATTATATTATGATATTATATATAAATATATTTAATATAGAACATATTTTTCTTAAATATATACATGCATGTGTTTGTATATATATATATATATATATATATATATATATATATATATATGTATGTAATAAATACACACAGTACACACTCACATCGTTTGACAGCACTATTATTAATATAAAATATTTTTGTAATATAATAATATTTTTGTTAATTGGTTAATTTCAACTTTTACTAATACATTACTGAAATATGCTTCTGTTAACATTATTTAATTGACCTCAGCTGGCATGAACTATGAATAGTTGTATTTTTATTAACCAAGTATTAACAAAGATTAATAAATACTGTAACAAATGAACTGCTCATTGTTAGCTAATTGTTAGCTATAGCTAATTATTGTTAGCTAATGTTAGCTAATACTACTGGGACCTTAACAATTGTTACCAGTTTTTTATATATTTAATTTTTCTGTTTTATTGTTTCTATTATTCTATTTAAAATACATTGTATTATATAAATCATATTATATATATATATATATATATATATAATTTTTTTTTCTTTTTTCTTTATACAAAACTGTCTTTCCTTGATTTTGGGTTGAATATTGAAAGGTTTAATCTAATTGATGTTGACATGGTTGTTGTTCAGGTCTTTTGGGAAGCCTGTAGCAATGATGCAAGCACGTTTTGTGACTTCAGTTCTGCACGAACACAAGTAGAAACAGTGCTGTGAAGATAAGCGTATAAATGCTGCTTTGATTAGACAGGATCCAGTCGTTTACTGTGACAAAAGCTCTGAACTCTTTTCAGAAACGGGCAAATGTGGTGTTATGAAAGAAGGCAGTCTTTGTGCTGTGGGCAAACCCTGGTTACACACGCCGCGCTGTACGTGCACACACTTGACCCTCAAAGGCTTGCGAAAGCATGTTTGTATTGGTGTGATTAATATAGTGCTGATTAAGTGGAACTGGATTCACCTCTGTTCATTTGATTACACATTTACCGTACACATGCAAAAAGAGTGCTTTATCTCACAATGCAATGCGCTCGGCTTTACCTTCTGTTCCCTGTGTGATGAATGAAGTGAAGGTAAAATCACCCATGAGTTTAACCATCTCTAATTTGACTGATTAGATAATCAAAAGGCTAAAAGTTACATATTTTTAGGGCTGCCCTCGACGAAGGATTTTTCTGGTCGACTAGTAGTCGTTCATTTGAAGCATTAGTCGACTAATCGCACGTTTATTAAAGCTACAGTCTGTAACTTTTTTTGGTTAAAAATGATCCGAAATCAACATTTGAGCAAGTACATAACCAGCCAGTGTTCAAAACTATCGCCTTACTTTAGCCCGATTCACAAAGGTTAGCTTATAATGTTTTCTAATTTGAGTGGTACGGGTAGGTTTTCGCGGGAAATTCGAGCATGGCGCTGCGTCATTACGTCACGTCTGTAAACATAAAGAAGTTGTCCCGGATACTAGGCTATCGCATGTGAGGATCGTTTATAGCCTTTTCTCACAGCAGCTAGAATAATTAAATGTATCATTTTGATGGCGGATTGTAATCCATAAAGGATTATGTGTTTATGAAACACATGTGAATAAAATTAAATTATATTCCAGTTTTAAATGTGCTTCTGTTTACAGATAGCCTGGGATTACAAAAGATTTGTATTTTAAAGAAAACCAGTTCAAAGGGAGCATAATTTGGGTTAAAAAGAATTTCTTAATATGAAATTCGAATGATATGACAATTAGAGATTAGACTGTACAGAAATTGAAATCTACACACTAATATACACTATATTCACATAGTCACGTAATGCTGATGTGCTTACCATTAACAATTTGAGAGCAAAGTATAACAGTAGTAAAAATTTGCACGGTTTGATGTGATATGAGCTAACCGATCTTTAGATTAAATCACCATTGCTAGCGCGATTTAGGGTGCTTTCACACTTGGTTCGATTGCTTGGTCCGAACCCGAGTTTGATTGCTCCCCCCTCCCCTTGCCCCCGCTGGACTGTGTTCACATTATTTTATTTGGGTCCGAACCGCGGTTCGTTTGCGTCATCAATCCAGCAGCTGTTTACCCCGTTGCTTAGTAACGATGGTGCAGGAGAAGACGGCAAAATGCATAGCAAGGCTCTCTTCAATTTTATATTTATGTTTTTGAACCATTGGTTTTGTTTCCAAAGCTTCAGTACATAATGGCACTTACGTCTGCCTTACGAATGTACTGCAAATGCTCTAAAGAACTCTGAAGGCGAATAGAAATGAGATATACAGCTCTCTACTTGCAGCGCGTCAGTCACGCTCATCAAGAAAGTGAGTGACACACAAACACACATTTTTATCAAATAATACGTAATTAATAGCGGTTCACTTCCGTGATTTGGTACGATTGCGTTCACATCAGCAGCGAACGTACCGGAGTTCACTTGAACCGTACCCCAGACCACCCTTTTTAAGCGGACTCGGGTACGGTTCGCGGGTGCGCACTTGAGTTGGGAAGACCGCGTTCACATCATCCAAACGTACCGAACTCTGACGTCAATCGAACCCGGGTGCGCACCAAAAGTGCT